ATAAGTTGTAAACTATTTAACTTACTGATTCCAGATTTCGTGTGAGTTTTTAGACAATGAGAGGATGCGATGCCAAAACGTTCTGGTAATAATAACACCGTTTATAAATGTTTAATTCAAAAGTCATAAATAAACTTCTTCTGTTTATAACTTTTGATCTAATCAATATTTTTTTACACTCGAGGGCTAGTTTTGTAGGTCTTTTTGAAGACGAAAAAAAATACTTTACTGTTTTCTCGTGGAAATGAACGGAAAAAAGTTATAAGCGAAAAACGTGAATTAACGTAAAAATTATACAATTAACCACCCTGTAAACAATCTTCCCCCCATTTTTATGACTGTGGAAACTAATATGTTATTGTACATAATATTTAGCATCTATAGTTATAAATTCAGCGTGCCGAAGCAAAAAGTCGCGAAATGGTAATTTCCCAGCTTATTTTCCTGGACTATATTTTTCAAGGCACAGATTGTTTAAGATTTGGACATGAGATTTATTTAAAAATCTTGAAGGTAGTGCAAAGTAGTTTGATGAAACTTGGGCTAATAATATTGGCCCAACTAAAAGTAAAAATTGACGAAATACAGGGTGTCCCACCACGAACTCCATCGACGGATATCTGGGAAACCGCTAGAAGGATTTTTTTTGAAATTGTGGTGGTGTGATACGGGCCGTGGAACCACACCAAAATATTTTCAAGGTCATGTACTTTCGGTTACACCGGAAGTCGATACCAACTTTATTATTTTAAAATAAAAACCTACGATAGTTGTCATGTTACTTACCCGTCACGGCAAACCTAAAATGTGCGAAACAAACCATTTTAGGAAAAGGGAAATGTTTATTCGTAAATAAAATGAAAACGGCTAGTTTTAGGTATAGGAAAACTTTAACAAAGTTACACTCAATTTAAGTGCAGAATACGAATACGTTAGAAAAAATGGGGGTTTCCATTTAAAAATTTGGAGTTTTCCATATTTTCTGAATTTCATATTCTATCTTTTTTTTGAGCACCTTGTATAAAAACTTGAAAATTTTCATGTCAAATCCGATAAATTAGATCTTCCTCTACAAAATGTCCAATTCGCACAAAAAAATAAACCTGTGTTTCCGGGAAAACTAAATTTTGCTGACAGTCTGCATCTGTCAATTTTTGCCTAAAAATCAAAATATCTCGGAAACGATCAATCCTAAGTATGGAGTGTGCTCCATATATTCAACTTAAAAATAAATGCTCTTTCCAAAAATGTAATAATATACAGGGGATTCCATTTAAAATAAGAAATTTGGTATAACCGGAAGGACGATGACCTTCAAAATATTTTAACTTGGTAGGCCTCACGGTCCGTATCACACCACCACAATTTCAAAAAAATCCTTCAAGCGGTTTCCCAGATATCCATCGATGGAGTTCGTGGTTGAACATCCTGTATATTATTGGTTTGGAAAAAATAAATAGTTGCTCTTTTAAAAAATATTTACCTTCAAAAATATCAACACTATCCTCAAAATCTAATCTAATTGACTTTTAATTGTTATCTTTGAAAATATGACACAAATTTAGAAAACACCCTTTAAAGATTCACACAAAAAATGCCCCAAACAAAATAACGTAATGTTTACACGATCAGTCAGAAATACACAAATGAAAATCAAAGCCTCTGAGTTTTTAAGTTTGTTAATCAAATATGAGGATATTAATAAATAATTTCTTATCATAATGGTTAGATTTTATGTTTATATGTACAGTGTTAATGACAATACGAATAATATGCCCAGTTAGGAATTTTAAAGGAAAAATAGAACGTAATTACAACAGGGAGCTTGTCGTAATTGATTAGAAAAAAAGCATGCCCTGAAGGATACAAGAAGAGTCGTATTCACAAAAGGGAATATTTTAGATGAATGTAATGGAAAACTTCCATCGTGTTAGAAATAATGACAAAAAAAAGAATCCTTGGATAGGAATTTTCCACTTTAAGCTGGTCAAAGAGGGCTGTTTTGGAATTACCAGTCGAATTCAACTTTGACAATTATTTATTATTGAATTGGTTCATGAGTAAATAAAAATTTATATAAAATAAAATGCTGAAGTTTATTTTTAATATTAAATGATTATTTCATGACGATGGCTTTTTAATCAATTTATAAATTTAATGCTTCATATTAACTTTGTGTTTCTAAATCTCGTCCTGCTTCAATTTTTGTTTACATATTGTTTTTTAGATAAAGAAGTCTACTTAAAAAAATTGTGTCTCAAGATTTTTCCGCGACAATAATGGGGTTTCAGAAAAACTTCTATAGAACAAAAAGTTCTTGAAATTCATCAGAGAAAACGCTCAATTTTTTTCCGAATTTTTGGAATGATTTTTGGATTTTTCGAAAAACGGCCAAAAAGTAAAAACGTCTCAAAAAATTGTGTGCGTGTTATTTGTATAATTTTAACAACTTTTTGTTCTATAAAATTTATTCGGAAACCTCACCATTTCCAACAAAAAAAATTCCTAAAGATTTTGAGGTTTTTTCCTTTCAGCCGATATTTTGGTCGCTAAGGCCTCAAAAAAAGATTGATTTTTTGGATGCATGCATCTTGAAGTTTAGGGTTGTATGACAAGACATTTTCACTTCACTTATAAATCCTTATCTGATTTAGATGCGGAAATTCAGTTTGAAAAAAAAATAAGTGAAAAATTTAGACTTTTTTGGAAAAACCCCATATAGTGATTTCCAGCTGCATTTTTCGAAGAATCTGATCGCAGATTCTGAAAATTCAGATGATTACCATTACATGGTAATTTTTAAATTTTTTTACCATCTTTTTCCATTGCAGCCTTTGAAAAATGAAAAAAAATAGGTCCTTTCAGGCATTAACGGGTTAAAAAAATTAGTCAAAGATCACCCTTTAAAGTTTGTACAAGTACTTAATAAACACCCTGTATTTGAATAAATTTAAAATAATTCTAAAAATGTTCGTTTCTCAAAAAAAACTTGTAAGAATTTTTTGTTGCAGATGTACAGGCTGGTCCATTTTCTCGAGCTCAATTTTCACGGCAAACACGACTGTCAAATCAGAAATTTGCTATATTCATTTGTTTCTGAGTTACAGGGCGTTTCCCGTTATTGTCACATTTTTAACATGTCTGTATCTCAGGAAATAGTAGCTGACCATGGCCTAAAAAAATAGAGATTTTTCTCGCTTTTTAGCAATATATCACATGTTATCGTTGTTTTTACAAACACAGGAGATACGGAGTGTTTTATATATAAGTTATATATTTTTTCTCTTTTAATATGGCTGGCTATGAAAATACAGATAGAATTATAATTCTTACTTTTACAAAAGTCATATCTGTTGTAAAAATATGACTTTTATTTTAAATGCACAACATATACTCGTATGATAATATAATACTAACGAAATTTTAGGAGATAGGTGGATAGGAATAAACGGACCGATCAGATGGCCAGTTAGGTTACCTGATTTGAGTCCGTTGGACTTTTTCCTTTGGGGTTTTCTAAAATACGTTATATTGAAAATTCCTTTTAATAATATTTCAAATATGCATTTTAATGAATGCTACCCGAAGCGTTGCCAGAAGATGCGCGAAATGTGTGACAGTTGAGGGACGACAATTTGAACATTTGGCTATCATTTTTGAAAGTTTTTATTGATGTAGGTACCTACTTACTATTGTTTAATTTACGTTTAATATTGTAACTTCAGTTGAAGTGGGATAAAAATTGAAATTAAAAAGTTTTTTATCTGTAATATATACAGATAACAGATATGAGTTTTGTAAAAGTAAGAATTATAGTTTTGTACGTATTTTCATAGCCAGCCATACCATATTAAAATGTAAAAATGGATCGAATTGATATATAAAACACCCCGTATCTCCTGTGTTTGTAAAAATAACTATAGCATGTGATATATTGCTGAAAAGCAAAAAAAAAATCTATTTTTTTAGGTCATGACCAGTTACGATTTCCATTTAAAAAAATATAATTTTTTGTCATAACTCCGGAATTTTAAGACTTACTAAATTTAATTCGGCATTCAATTCTACGCCAAATAATTAGTCTTGAGCAGTTTTCACTTTAACTGTAACTAATTTAACAGACATGTTCAAAAGTGTCACAATAACGAGAAACTCAGAAACAAATGAAGATAACAAATTTCTGATTTGACATTTGTAGTTTCTGAGATACCCTGAAATCCCACCGAAAATGGACCAACCTATAAAATGTAACCATTAAAAGTTTGCATCTACAAATTTGTCCTTTACTATGTCTCAAAAAAAAAATCTGAATTTAGTGTGTCTTTTTTTAGAATTGTATTTCCATCTCAATAATGACTCGTCCTTCGAATAAAACGATTTTTTTTATAATTAAGAATCGTATGTGCAAATCGACTTTCAAAATTTTTAGTGGCGTTAAAATATTTTATTTTCTTAGAGATGGCTTCTCTTAGTAACTCCGCCACAGATTGACAACTGTACAAAATATTAGCGAATTTTTTTCTTTGCTTAGTTAAGTCACCTTGGCAAGTTTTATTAATCTGCGACAAAAGTTGTCCAAGATATGTACGTGGATCAACTATTTTAAAAAATATTAACACCTCTTTTACCTTTAAGAATTAATTTCTTTAAAATATACAGGGTGTTTCGTAGATACCTGAGGAAAACGAAACAGTGAATTCTTCAGCCGATTTTAGAGGGGCTGTTTTATATACAATTTTTTTAATCTCTCCTCCCTTAACCCCAAGTTACAGCCCTTTAAAAGTGGGTGTTGCAATCGAGTTTCAAGTTTTTAGAATTAACAATTCTGTTCCACACTGCTTAAGCATTTCATGTTATTTCTCCAACTCTTTGACCAGCCAAAGTCGAACGAGCCCCCAGCACAACCAGCGTCTCAAACTGGCCGTCGAGCGTCAAGAAAAGAAGTCAAGAAAAAAAATTGTTAGGAGCCCTCCGCCTCACCCAGATGGGGCAGACTTTACCTGATTACCCCCCTGTCCGTGACAGGGCCAAACGCCCACCGGTTTGTGAATATCTTCCGGTTTACAGGCGCTGTCGACGCACAGCTCTCTACCGAACGAGGCGATCTGCAAGAGAGAGACAAACATAAGAGCGGGTAAGTGGTATTTACCTGGTTGCCTCCTTGTCGGTGGCATGGGTACAGGCCGACAGGCTTGTGCATGTCGCTCCTCCTCGCAGGCGAGTCCAGGCACGTCTTGCCGCCGTAGCCGAGGTTCCGGATCTGTTGGCAGATGGGGTTAGCACATGTGGAAAAGGCAAAAAAACAGTATGTTTCTATTTCCGCAACATTCTGATTGGGTGTAGTTGCATAAAAGTCGTTTATGCGTCAAGTATGTATAGTGAAACTATTTCCATTATAAGGAAAGAAAATGCATTTTAAAAAAATTACTATATTATTGTGTCTTTCCTTTTGTGCAAAAATAAAATATCACAAAAGGGTCGTCCTCAAAAAAATAAAGCTAAAAATGGTTAAAAATAGCCTTATAATCACATCTGCAAAGTTTTAGGAAAATCAGAACATTTCTTGTTTGGGAAAAACCCAAAAGTATCAATATTCAATCAATTTTATTGTTTTTTATTTGTATTTTATTAAATTTTAATAAAGGGAATATACAGGTAGTACTAAAATTGAAGGTTTCCAAAAAGCAGATTCACGTAATTTACCAACTGTAGACGTTACCATGGTGTAAGAATTTTTTGCAAAGAGCAAAGTGCAAATACTTGTATCAGGCTGAATCTAGTGGTGTAAAAACGAAACTGTAAGTCGGCATCATATGGGAAACTTGTTTATTATTGGTTTTATGAAAAAGAGTTATTCTTGATAAAAAGATCTGCATGGCCTAAAACCCACATTGTAGTAATCAGATTTCAATTTTTTGCAGTCGTATACGAGGTTTGTCGAAAAATGTAAATTTTGCACAAGAGTAAAGTACCTCTATTTCTTACAAAATCTACAATCTTTATTAAGGAAAGTTGATCCCAATGCAAAACTACTGTCAGATATCCAATATTATCCATCTACCATTAAAAACAATTTTTAATAATTTTTGGGTATAAACATAATAGGAAATAAATTATAATTTAATTTTGCAAATTACAGGGTGTCCCGGTACTTGATACAAAAAAGTCGAGTACATATAGATGAGGTAAATTAATATCAGTTCTTCATATTTTTTTCCTACGGGCCTTCGTTAACAAGTTACGGGCCCTCAAAAGTGAAAATTAAAAAGTTATTTTTAATTACAGTCTCTAAACCATTAACTTCAGCATGATGCAAATTTGGTGATCGATAACACATGCGTGCGTACAGCTTTTTTTTGATGTTGTAAGTGATACTTAATTATATCCAGAACGCCAGGGACGGACTCTGCCCATTGGTTAACAACCCAGGATTTTTGCATAGATGACGATCGCAATCTGCCTGTATCAAAAGCAAGTTCCCTGAAGAATTTTCCAACGATAATCCCATCTTGGTTCAACTCGGTAAAATTAACAGTTTAGGAAATATTTGTGATTTTATATCACAGTGCACATCGAGCGGCGCCTCCACCATTTTTTGTTTTTAATTTTTAATTGGACATAATTACTATGTTTGTTAGAACTGTACATATTTTTAAAATAAGAGCCTAGGAAATCTTACTATTATTACTAATATAATTTTCACTAACCAAATTTGACAAATACACTTTACACTTAACACAAAATAGAAAAACGAAACAAGAATAAGTCAAAGTAAGTTAAAATAATTTTAAAGCAGGAAGACTATCAAAATACATTTTCAATGTGGGCACTTTTCACCTCCACACACTTCCTAAGTCTACGAATGTTATTTGTTTGTACACGAAAAAGCATTTCTGAAGTAGGTCTAATATTATTACAATGGAAATTAATTCTTTGTAGCAATTCATCCCTGGTCTGCACTGGAGTTGCGTACACTAAACTTTTCAAGTATCCCGACGTAAGAAGTCAATCGGATTAAAGTCTGGTGAACGTGGTGGCCTCCTCTTCCAATCTATTTATTATTAAACCCAATGGATAAATAATTTCATACATCAAGATTGCAATGGGGAGGAGCCCCATTGTGCATGAACCAAACGTTTCTTCAGGTGTCTAATGGTCAACATCTAATAGTGGCTGCAAATTATTTTGCAAAAACTCCAAATATCGATGTTCATTCAGACGTTCCTCAAAAACGTACGGACAAGTTAAATTATTACCACAGAAATGCTTTTTCATGTACAAACAAATAACATTCGTAGTCTTAGGAAGTGTGTGGAGGTGGAAGGTGCCCATATTGAAAATGGATGTTGACAGTTTTCTTTCTTTTAAATTATTTTTAACTTATTTTTATGTGTAGTGTGTTGGTCAAATTTTGTTAGTGAAAATTATATTGGTACATAGTAAGATTTTTAGACTCTTCTTTTAAAAATAATAAATAGATTGGAAGAGGAGGCCACCACGTTCATCAGACTTTAACCCGATTGACTTCTTACGTCGGGATACTTGAAAAGTTTAGTGTACGCAACTCCAGTACAGACAAGGGATGGATGAATTGCTACAAAGAATTAATTTCCATTGTAATAATATTAGACCTACTTCAGAAATGCTTTTTCGTGTACAAACAAATAACATTCGTAAACTTAGGAAGTGTGTGGAGGTGAAAAGTGCCCACATTGAAAATGTATTTTGATAGTCTTCCTGCTTTAAAATTATTTTAACTTACTTTGACTTATTCTTGTTTCGTTTTTCTATTTTGTGTTAAGTGTAAAGTGTATTTGTCAAATTTGGTTAGTGAAAATTACATTAGTAATAATAGTAAGATTTCCTAGGCTCTTATTTTAAAAATATGTACAGTTCTAACAAACATAGTAATTATGTCCAATTAAAAATTAAAAACAGAAAATGGTGGAGGCGCCGCTTGATGTGCACTGTGATATAAAATCACAAATATTTCCTAAACTGTTAATTTTACCGAGTTGAACCAAGATGGGATTATCGTTGAAAAATTCTTCAGGGAACTTATTTTTGATACAAGCAGATTGCGATCGTCATCTATGCAAAAATTCTGGGTTGTTAACCACTGGACATAGTCCGTCCCTGGCGTTCTGGGCATAATGAACTTTCACTTACTACATCAAAAACAAGCTGTACGCATGTGTTATCGATCATCAAATTTGCATCATGCTGAAGTTAATAGTTTGGAGAATGTAAATAAAAATAAGATTTTAAGTTTCAACTTTGAGGGCCCGTAACTTGTTAACGAAGGCTCGTATGGAAACAATGTATATGAAGAACTGATATTATTTTGACCTCATCTATCTATACTCGTATCAAGTAAACGGACACCCTGTATATTTGCATAATTTTTTTTTTAATAAACTATGCACAAAAATGAAGGAATATTAAAAAAATCCCAAATTTTTGGGTGATTTTCAAAGAGCTGTAACTTAGAGGGAAATGGTCGTAGAGAGAATAGAAAAAAGGAAATTGAAGCTTCTAGTGTCTAGTTTTCTGATCTGGAGTTTAATATTTTTTAGAATGGCGGTTTTTCAGTAATCATAAGAAAACTAGCGAAAAAAAATGTATCCAAAATTTTGTTTGTCTTTAAAAAGGTCTGTGGCGTTTAATAAGTTTTTTTTTGACAATTTCATCATAGGGCCCTTTAAGGTAATTTAATTCTCTTCAATTTGAGTGGTTCCAGAGCCCTGTACAATGATTTGTCGCCGCGTTATTGTCGATCAAAGCAAAAAAGTCAATTTTGATTTTGGCAATCAATTACCCGGAAATAATGATAGTACAAAAAATCCAAGTAGGGTTCTGAAAACTGCAAAGTATTCTCTACAAATCGTAGTTATTGGTTTTTGATAAAACATTTTTTTTTCGAAGTGAAAATGTTGAAAAAAGGTAAAAAATTGCATAATTAGGGATATTTGAATAACATGACATAATTTTGCAAATAATGGATAAACGAAAGATATTGACTGTAACTTTTGACCTTAAAGTGCTCTAAAGAAACCCTGATAATTTCAAAAGGCTGCGGTTTTTTTTCCCAGTGACTGGAATGTTTAAATTTGTCGTATTTGCTGAAAACAACATAACGAGTAATTTTTCACTTTCTATTCATTTCTTTGGTGAAAATGTTTTTTGATCCATATTTTTTTCATCAAAAAACGTTAATTATTGTATAATTGTATGTTAATATATAATTGACTTGTAGAGAATACTTTGCATTTCTCAAAACCCTACTTGGATTTTTTGTACTCATTATTTCCCGACATTGGCAATCAACAAAGTCAAAAATGATTTTTTTGCTTTGATCGACGATAACTCAGTGACAAATCATAGTGCAGGGCTCTGCAATCACTCAAATTGAAGGGAATTAAATTATTTAAAAGGGTCTTCCGGTGAAATTACTAAAAAAATTATTGAAGTCCATATACCTTTTTAAAGACAATCAATAATTTGTAAAAAAAAAATTCCGCTAGTTTTCTTATGATTATTCAGAAACCGCTGACGCTAGAACATTATAAACTCCAGATTCGAAAATTAGACACTTGAAGCTTCAATTTTCTTAATTTTTGATTCTCTCTATGACCATTTCCCTCCAAGTTACAGCTCTCTGAAAATCATTCGAAAATTTGAGATTTTTTTAATATCCCTTGCTAATTAGCTGCACTAGCGCCATATAATCTGTGGATAGCTCTTTAGAATTTATTCAGAATATATTCAAAAATATACACAAAACCCCCCACGCCCACGTAGTTATTCTTCTGATTACTTTTCTTAGTTCTAAAAATAGAAAGTGTCTATTCTATTATTTTTGATAAGTATCTACAACAGTTTCTTGGTATACATATTTCATTTTTCTAAGCAAATTAAGTAAGTATACACGTTCCCAATTTTTTTGAACCACTAAAACTTCCCATTCACTTCCAACACGACGCCCTGCCCTACGCGTTATCCCCCCAACACGCGACTATATATCAAGAACGTATCTCTCACCTACTTACTCCAAATCTGAATGAACTCCGACATTTTTTACGGAAGAAAAAATATATATAAAGCGGAGCTTGCACGCCAGACTTATCTGGGTATTTATCAGAAATATCGCGCTCTCAGCACCTCTATTTTTCACGGAACGATCTTCCGCGATGGCCGTTCTGGAATTTTAAGTACATATATTACAGGCCGTGAGGCGGGGATCGTGATTTATTACCCTTT